AGAACACCGCAATTAGACCAGCATTTTTTATTTTACTCTTTTTTGTTCTACTTCATCTTGGCATAGTAAATGCAACTGCCTCGATCTCTAACTAAAATGGTTCTATTAGAATCTGAACAGTGATGAAGGAATTAGACTCTTCGTAGTCAATGACTTCTACATTGTAACGATAATGCAGCTTTTAAAGGACCAATCGAATCAGTACGTCTTTGCCAAACCAACTCGCCATCTTTGCACAGTATAATCAATTGGTCGAATGTCTAAAGCAAGGAACTCTATTAGACTTGAGAAGTGTTGAGACTATCAATCACTCGACAGAGACGAAATAATAGAGTTTAAACAGTGGCGAGTCCACTAGACACTCAATTAGACTAGCATTTTTCAGTATACTGAACTTGTGATGTGTTTACAATAGATACGGCTGCATTGCTGTCTAAATAAAGAGTATCTGTTAGACTTTCAAAAATGTTGATGCTATTAAACTCTTCATAGTGAGAGACTAACAGACTTCAAACAGAGACAGGTCTGCCAGTCATCCAATCAGACCGACACTTCTCAGTCTACCAGACACTTTACAGACATTTTCCAATTTATGAAGAAGCTTTCAGACATCCAATCGGATCAGACCATCCTGTAATAACTTCACAGTTCCCCGAATGTTTCGCATGCCAAGTTGATTTCCCCGAGCAAATCAGTAGCAAGCGATTAAAAATGCGGGACATAGAGCGCCGATTTATCGTGGTAATAAAAGCTAACCCGCGAAACGGCAACGTCGCAGCCGGGGAACACGTCGCGCCCCTACTCTGCTCTCGGAAATGATGCCGCTGATTTTTTGGCCCGGTGGAATACAAACAACGCGATTTCCCGGTTCGTTACGCGTGCCGCTCTGCATACGGGAAATTCTGGGAATATTTGCGCAATCTTCGTCTCAGCCGGAGGATCCAGGATCCACGGTTGAGACTTAGAGGATTCCGTCCGGTCAAGGTCGGTCCAGCTCCGTTGGGGACCACGGCTTTCCGTGCTTTACCTCCGAGTTTTCTCGGGAGAGATTCCCACCTTTCCCTTGAAAACCGGCGCTGTGGGCCAGTCTGACAAATTATCCCCAACTGCATAATCTGCATTCATTGTTGCAATGCCAATAATGACACTTTCATTTCGATTGTAATCCACGCGAGCTCCATGCAGAGGAAACTATCTGAATTTTTGTAAAATGATACTGGATCACCTGTCCATCCTGCTTAATTATTATGAGACATTTTTAGTAACATTTCTATTTGATTTGTAACCTTTGTAAGATCGAGGCAGAGAAAATAATTTTGACGTTCCACAAATGTATGCAGAGAAATATCGAGAGACTTTTTGCTTAAAATAAAAAATAAAAAATAATTCACAGTTATTTTATTTCGTGTTTAATTCTTCTTAATGACACCTTTTTAATTTTCTTAAAGACACTTTTATTTCATGTTTAATCTACTTGTGATACAAGAAAGACGAAATGAACTAATTTTTTTTTTAAACAAAATATACCGCTCAAAAAGATTATAACATAGTAAAACGTTTGATAAAAATTGGCCAAGTTCAACTGACGATAACTCCGCGGAAAATCATCGTAGAATAATGATCTTTTCCTCAAATTAAAGCTTAAAATCTCTACTTTAAGACAATGGTTTCTTTATTATAAGTTTGTTTACACTTTCACGTTGTAACCTATTAGATGCGAGGCCATGCTTGTCATATTGAAAGTTGCCAAGTTCGGCGAAATGCACGGACTTTGTAAAATTTTTTCGGACCAGCCGTTTGCAGCAGAACGATGTTTGATTCTTCTTCTTTAATTTAAGAGCAGAAGAAACCTGGCAACGACTTCGTTTTCGCAAAGTTACAGCACTTTGAAGTAACTTTTGCATTTCGTCGAACTTGGCAATTTTCAATATGACATTCATGGTTTCACATTTAAGGGGTTACAGTGACGGGGGTGCATCAGACTTACAATCCAGAAACATCGTCTGAAAATAGAAGTTTCAAGCTTTAATTTACAAGCAAAGTCATCAATCTACGATGATTTTTCGCGAAGTTATTATTGGTCAAAGTTGGCCAAAGTTTTATTCAACATTTATCCGCTATCATTTTTTCGAGCAGTGTATTTAAATTCTATAAATATTTTTATCGTTTTGTATTTGATGTACTCGTTTTGACCAGTATAAAAAGATGTACGCTTCTCAGTTGCGAAGAAAATATTTCAGGACTCAGTCGATCTACATTTCCTAAGCCCAGCAAAAACCAAATAAATCTCTTCGTAAAACAGTACGGAAAAATCTGTGCACAAATGTCGACAATGGAATCGAAACCAACTGTCAATTCATTTTACATCATTCTACGCAAAACGCGTGCTCGAAAAGTAGAATGGACGTGTCCATTGTTAGCATCGACGCAGCTCGGACCACTTCCCCCAAAAATAAGTCAAAGGGTAAAACAAGTTAGAACGCCGCGAATGTATTGAATAATGAATTGATCGAATAATTCACGAGCCCGCTGCTATAGTTCGTCGAATAACGTTTATTACGCGAGTGGATTCGCAGATCAGGCAGCGTTATTCCATTTCCGGGAGGGGCGGCCGCGAGTTTTCCCATTCCTTTTGTCGGCCTGATTTATCGCCGCCCTTATACTCGCGTGTACTACCAACCGAGGGTCTTCTTCTCCTGTGTACAGTTCTGTTCCCTTGACTGATAGTCGGCTCCGCACCGCCGAAGGTAAAGGATGTTCCCCTAAGCCTCGCACGTTCCTGGCATCCACGATTCCCGGCTTCCTGTCCGCCCCTCGCGCCGGCTTCACCCTCGACTTTAACCATATTTCTTCGTTTCCTCGGATGCTTCGGATCGGGGCAAAGAAAACGGCGGCACTTTTTTCCCCACCCCAAACCCCCTACCAAAAACCTGTTCATGTCCCATCGCTCCGACAGCGGAATAGCCGCGGAGAGTCGCGTTCTTCTGCGGAGAATATTGAATCTTTTTTCCGCGAGCCGTCGTACTCCCTTCGTATTAAGAATTCCACCGCCGACATTCTTATTAGACCGAGTCCAAATGGGTGAGTTTCTTATTGATAATATTCTTCATATTTCTCTAACAAACATATCCCATAGATCCGTTAACACGATTATTATTTATTAAATTAGCTTTGCGAATCATTCGTTGAACTGTGTTTGGACGCGGAATTATTTAAATTAAAATATCATTTACGTACTTTGTTAATCTTCACTGTACACCTGGCTTAAAAATGTCATATGTTGACCTTGACATGACCTTGATATAACCTTGATATGACCTTGATATGACCTTGACATGATCTTGACATGATCTTGATATAACCTTGATATAACCTTGATATGACCTTGACATGAACTTGATATGACCTTGACATGACCTTGATATAACCTTGATATGACCTTGATATAACCTTGACATGACCTTGATATGACCTTGACATGACCTTGATATAACCTTGATATGACCTTGATATAACCTTGACATGACCTTGATATGACCTTGACATGACCATGATATAACCTTGACTACCTGAACTACCAAGCCAGTCAAAATTACTGGTTTCCGATTTTTTTCTTTTACGGTTCCTGATATGAATATTTCTAGGAGAAATTTTTAGACACATTTCTTTGTTGAAGTATACAGGATGCCCCAAAAATGTCTCGCAATCCGGAAATGGGGGGTTTCCTGACGTCGTTTAAAGTAACTTTTTCCTTAGCGAAAGTTTAATCCGCGGCTTCGTTTACGAGTTATTAACGAAAAACGCTGACCAATGAGAGGCGAGATCAGCTGGCGCGAAACGGCAGAGCCAATGAACGTAACTGGGCTTCGTGTGCTCGTTGGCTGGGCCGCCTCGCGCCAGCCGAGATCGCCTCTCATTGGTCATAGTTTCTCGTTAATAACTCGTAAACAAAGCCGTGGATTACACTTTCACTAAGGAAAAAGTTGCTTCAAATGACCTCAAGAATCATCCTTCTCCGGGTGTTAACAAAATTATGGGACATAATTATCGACGCTTTACATTTAGGGTTACTTCTTAGCATCACTACAGAAAAATTAAACGATGTAGAGCATTAAACGCGTTATTGCAATATATTACTAAATGATAAACAATATATTATTATCATACACAAATTTCTGCAGAATGCTGTAGTAATAATTATGGAACACTCTGTATAATTTCGCTGAACAATTTAGTTTCTCCTAAACATGACATAACTTTTGCCGTATGTTTATAGTTGTCCAAGTGTTTTTCGATAGTATTGGGCATTTTTACTTTTCTCCTAATATTCTTTAATCCCTGATTCTTGTTGAATATACTCGAGGAGTTTTTCTGACTTCATGTTGGAGTAAAAAATTTGAATGTATCCCTCCCTGGTTCCACTTATGCCAAATAATCATATGTCATAATCATAATCAATGTTCTTTAGATCTATATATATATATATATATATATATATCGTTCTTATTTATTGAGATTTCAGTATTATCAAGTTAACTTTCGTAGAGGATTAAATTTTGTTGCCTCTCTGACTCGTTTTGTAAATCACTGATTAGAAAGTCAGGATTGAAGGGATTTTTTCATTCCTTGATTATGTTGGGATTGTGTCAACAGAAATTACATAGAGCTTTTTCTCTCAATTTTACATGGTTGTGCAACGTACAAAGTTAAGAATAATATGAGTGATATAACGAATTCGAATGACGGCACGACGAATGTAATCTTATTTTTCGAAAAACATCGATATGTATATCCTAAAATTTCGGAAGGAAAGGACAACTGATCGATAGTCGCTCGTGACCTAAGGTGTTAATGCTACTTTAGACATGAAAAGAAAAGAGCAAAAGATGCACAGCAACGATTTCGACTTATGACCGGTTACGGCCGATTTCTGATAGCGATAGCCCGATCGTGATAGTAACGAGCCGAGCCCTAACGACGCTAATCATTTTTGCTTGCAGAGGCCGAAGTCAGGTCGCCGCGTTTCACCGGCTCCGGTTGGCTGGCGTTCCCCGCCCTGAAGGCAGCCTACAAGCACGTCCAATTAGAATTGGAATTCCGACCCGAGGCCTGGGACGGAATCCTGCTGCTCGCCGGGGAAAGAGACGATCTTCAGGGTGACTTCATGGCCTTGATACTGCATCACGGTTTCATCGAATTTAGGTAACGATGTCAGCGCCGTAAACGACGAAAGCTCTCCCGCGGACATTAAAGCAAACGTCGCGGCGCGATTGTCACTTGGAATTGGGACAGCGAGGCTCTTAAGGGAAGCGCAAAATTAAGCAATTCTTCCGCTCTCAAACGGAGCGTCGGAGGAATCTGTTTCGCTCTTGTGGAACTGTGTCAACCAGCTGTTTTCGGTTTTTCAAAATTGTTTTGGAAATTTATTAGGCTATTTTTAGAAACGTATTAGGAAATTTTTGGAAAGTTTGCCAGGACATTTTTAGAAAATTTATTAGAAAATTTTTCGTGCAACGGAACTTTGTGACGGTACAGCTCTGTTTGGTTTTGTTTTGTTATTTTTCTATATGATAGACAATATAAATGATAAGCAAAAATATCATTTCTTACCCGACGAGTGTCTCAAATTGAAGGAATTTTTATCCAAATTAATTTCACTCCTTTACCTTACTTTAGAAAATTATAAATAAAGATACTGAGATTTTCCCAGAAAGATTCGAATAAGCTCCAAAGAAATAATGCTCCAAACTTATTTTACAGAATACAACTCTTTAGTAATTATATCGGATATGGTAGTACATTAAATTTACTTTAGTGAAATGAATTTTCGCATTTTCATGAGCTCGTTCTGGCGATAATTTTGCGTACAGTCAACAGAGAAATTTACTAGTCTTTCAGAGGTACATAGTCGCTAACAAATTCAATGAATTCTTTATAAATCACTTCCAGCTCGATCATAATTTAGTGGTCCATGAACTTATTCCTATCATGGGCGCAGTCGTATTTTCTCTTTAAGGCGATTAATTTCTGAAGGATGTTACTTCGTGTAATAATTTTCATTAACTCCAGGGGATGCGCTACGATTCACACAGGAATTAACCGAACTCCGCAAAGCTAATTCTTCGGAAACTAAGTTATCGGGCTCGTTATATTTTCTTCTTGTAAAAGATTCCAAAGAACACTTTAATTATTCGTGCACTGCAATCTCATAAAATGCGACCGTCAAATTCATTTTTTCATTGAATTCGCCGGATCCATTACGAGGATCACCGCAACGAAAATGAACAGACGTAAAGTAGACTCCGTACGTTAACACTTCGACACAAATTTTTGGCAAACTAAGAAATTATGCTAGGCCGTGAAGCCTCAAATCTTTGACAATTAATTACTATTACAATCTATTAAGTAGTCCAGGCTTCAGCTGTGTAACAATCACCGTGATAAATTTTGTCCTTTCTACTCTCAAAAATGCACCAAGAATCAGGTGTTAGTCATGTACTTCTACTTATTAAAAACAATATAAAAATCACGTGTTAATCGGGCGTTTCTACTTATTAAAAACAAAGTAAAAATCACATATTTGTACTTAATAAAAACGAAGTAAAAATCACGTGCTTCTACTCAATAAAAACAAAGTAAAAATCCCGCGCTTGGTCAAGAGTTAAATTCAGTTTCTAATTAAATCGGCAATATAGATAAATAGAACAAAGTCTGCCATAAATCCTGATTCACAAATTGGACTCACACGAGAGTAATACAGTTCCATAATTGCTATTAACGCGACCGATGACGTTTCATCGACCTTTCATCCGCGAAATCATTTAACTCCCTCCGGAATCGGTGCGAGATCGACTTGAAACGGCCCGACAAATTGGAATTCGTCTAAAATCGTAGACAAGATCCGATTGATCGGAATGATCTAACGAGGTCCCGGCGTGTTTGCCACAAACCATGACGCTCCGTCACCGGTGCCGAATTATGCCGGACAACTTTCCCCAACTTCCGGCAATATCCGAAGTTTCTCGCGCGAAACTTCATTGGCCCATTAGCGGCGTGACATCAAAGGATCCGGCGCGAAACCGCGATTTACTTCAATTTACCGCGATACACGGCCCTCGTTTCCGCTGTGGTGAGCTGATCGGCAAACTCTGATGAGATTTCGGCGGAAAGACGTGTCCCATTCTCGGAGCTTGTCTCGACATCGACGACGGTTCATTTCCATCGGCGGGTTCATGTCTGGCGACGACATTCGGAGCATCGATAGGCGATTATGAATCGATTTTCTGAAGAACCGATTTTTACGCAGCACTTTTCGATGTTTTTGAATCAGTTTTTTTTTTGTTCAACTTTTCGCAGTGATTTCCGATTTTTTGCAAGAAGTTTGATTTCCATTTGTTGTTGCTGTCACGGACAGGTTGCGTCCATTCGTAGACAGCATTTTATTTTGCTACGACTGGACCTCGTGACAGGTAGAAAATGATTTTCGAACATATGTGTGTATTTTGGGATTTTGAAGTTTCGTCTGTTTCGAATAAAAACATTTAAAGGTAAAAAATACAATCTGTGCCTGTCCTGTGTGCCTTTTTGCATAGTCGTTTCTTTTCCTGCTTCGAATAAAAATATCTAAAGGCAGACAATCAATCTGGAACATGTAGTGTATATGATAGAATAATTATGTTCCTTGTGCTGCGAATAAAAAGAATTAAAAATAAACAATGAATGTAGAGCATGCAGTGTGTATTTTGAAATTTCTCTGTTCCTTCAGTTTCGAGTAAAAAGATTTGAAAGTAAAAACTATTAATCCAAAACATATTGTGTGTATTTTATGGTTTCTGTGTTTCCTCTACTTCGGATAAAAGTAAATATGTTTTACAATTTTTGTGTTTCGCCTGCTTCGGATAAAAATATTTGATGTTACAAAATAATTCAGTCTGCTTCGAGTGAAAATACGTAAAAGTAGAAAATTATTGTGCAATATATTCTACATACTTTATAATTTTTATGCTTGGTATGCTTCGAACAAAATTGCTGATTTGAGCTATAAACTGAACCAGGACCATGAGATTGACTTAAATATTAGAATCTGGAAGATATGTTTCGCAATGAAATAATAATAATTGCGTTAAATAATAAATAATTGTGAAACTCCGAGTCCTAATTTCTTGGCTGCGAATTATAGCACGCCGGTCAAAATGAATTCCCCTGAGCGTTTCACGGTAGCCAGTCTTGATACCGCTATGAAGTATCGCGTAAATGAACTTGGTCGACAGCGTATAGTTTCCTAACGGGGGCCATGGAAACTTTTCCGTGGAAATTTTACGGGACACTTTAGTCCGATAACGTACCGGCGCTGCGGGACTTTGACGCGGCCATTAATTAAGAACTTCACCCGGGAACTAATTTTTCGTTTACAGCTTAATAACCCATAACTGCCGGCGCTGACAGCCGATTTAAACATAACACCTTCGAATAGAACAGAAGTTCATGAGCTTACACCTTGGACTACCATTCATTCCTATATTAATAACAATCTTCACATTCTAAACGGTCTTCCAACAAGATCTTCCGATAGACCTTTTGTAAATAAAACACGTTTAAATTAAAAAAAAAGAATCGACTTTTTATCGCATCTTTTGAAATTATGTATGAAGTTCAATATCAGCCAAATGGCCGCACAAACTCTTTTTGCACCGATCGTATCTCTTTCATAAAAAGGTGATTGACTGCAAAAAGAGTTTGCGTGGTCATTTGATGGACATTGTGTTTCATATTTAATTGTAAAGGTCACAATAATAATTCAACGAATTTTTGAAATCTATAAGCGCATTTATTATTTATTAAATGAAAGTTGGCTCTTGTCGAAAGAGCCAACATTAATAAATTATATCCTGGTACCAGTCTGCGGATCTTTATGCAGAATCAAAGTTTTGTGCATCAATTTTAGGAAACAAAATCTGGATAGAGAGGCTATTCCTGTCATGAATAATTTTAATGAGCTATAAATAATAGAATTAAATTGTCAAATTCCTCTAACGGGATCACTGTTTTCCGTTGCGTCTACTCATTGTTGCCATAAATGCATAAAATCCGCAGTCTACTTATTACTGTCTTGGAATTGTTAGAGAGGAAATTGGCAAGTTACGTGCTATATTCTGAAAAAGATACGGTGACTAATGTGCACGGTATGGGGTGTACTTTATGATTGCACAAATCAATTTTGTTCCAGATTAATACGGTCTCAGCTGAATTATGTCACATGCGTGAAAACATAGAAATTATCATTGCTGGTATACGTAGAAGATAGCGGAGTCGATGCACTTTCCAATGGCTTTTGCCCCGTGTCGATATCTCAATCCATTCCCGAGATACAAGCGTTCAAAGTTAACGCGTAAATGAATGGAATGGGACGCCCATTCATGAGTAATCTCCTGGAAATGTGTACGCAGTAGTACTAAATAGTAAAAACTGACTTGACAAAGGCCGCGTGGGGGTAGGTCAGTGACGAGTGCGAGTGAGAGGTCCGCCTGTGCGAAAGAGAGAGAGAGACAGTCAACTGTTAAAAATTGCGGTTGTCTTTACACGACGATATCTCGGGAACCAAGCATCGTATCGCAATGGGGCAAACGCCATTTTGAAGGAAAAGCTTTACGCTTTCCAACAATCGTAGTTTCATTTAAATAATATAAATAGTTTAACAATTACAACAATTTAAAAATTGACACATTTCAATAGGATTTCTACGTTAATCTCATCGAGTTCAATGATTCGAATTGAATAAATAACCTTCAATTAACAATGATTAATATAATTTTGAATAGAAATATTGTTTATAACTATTTTGTTAACTGTCTAAATACGCTGCTCGGTCAATAGTTAATTATCATTATTATTTCTGGAAGAAAACTATTCATAAATGTTTATTATGTATACTATATATATACTATATACTTTTGGGTCTAGCAGAACCTTTAATTAACTAACAATTGTAACAATTGTATCGTTTGCGATAAGTTACAAAGTCGAAAGAAGTAAAGTCGTAAAAAAATAAGGTATACAGTTTCGATGACTTCGCTTTGCATTTGCATTTGAAATTCATTGACACCGTAAGAATAAAATTAGCACATATTTTTGTAAAATGATTAATCAACAGAAAATGTTTATTAACCATTGACCGTGTATCATGCGAATCAACCAGAAACTGG